AGTTCATTATTAATATCCTCATTAAGATAAAGTATGTCGAATGAAAAAAGGAATATTAAAAAATAGTATTTCCCATAAAAAAATTATATTGATCAATACACTTTTCAATAAGTTATAGCATTATAAAGTTAAAAATGTAAAAAATAAAATTGAGAATTTTCACACAATAATAGCATNTTTTATAATAATATACACATGTGCATAGAATGAGTGGATAAAGTATGTCAGCTGCATCACATTCTTGATATTTTGTGTCTTGCTAATATTGCAATTTAAAACACTATACGGCCTCAATATGTATTGAAAATTTAGACTGGGGAAAAAGCCTAGTTGTGTCCACCCAAATGACGTCTTTGTTTTTCTTATAAGAAAAAATCAAATTCCACTGTTAGAATATATATTATAGTTTGATAGTAACAGCTAATCAATCATTCATTTTATACTATTATTAAAAATATATAAATAATATATTTTTAAATTTTGTATTAGTGTATTTTAGAGTTGTATTTTGTTTTAATGTTTCAAGTAATAAATTAATGAAGTATATTTCATAGAGCTTTATTTTTTAATAATTAAATTTAGTCTAATTAAGTCACTTAATTATACATATAACACTTAAACTTAAATTTAAGCAATTTAAAAAATTAAAAGAATTTGAGAAAAAAAGAAAATTTAATGAAGATGAATTCAAATTAACTAGTAAGTTTTTTGAGTTATAAATAAACAATGAATAGTATAGTATTGTTCAGTCATATGCAATTTTTATTTAAATTTTAGCTAAAACTATGGAATTCTGTTCTACAAGCGACGACACAGGAGAAAGTTTGCCTGATAATTGTGAGTTAGATTAAAATATTACGATCTATAAATTATCTACAACGATTTATACATCATTATATTCATTAATTTATATTGTTTTATAGTTGTAAACAATGATGACTTCAGTAATTTGATTGATGGCAATGTTAAAAAAACTCAAGATCAAATATTAAATTTAGAAAATATTAATTTTTCACCGGGTCCGTCTAATAAAACTAATGTTTTGCCAATATCAAGCTCTATAAAACAAAGAGGTACATCAGACATAATGACTTTAAAGTTATCTTCAGCATTAGATAGGTGCAAAATAAGCGACTGAGACGCAGTGCACATTATAGTTGCAATGGCTGAATCATTAGGGCATGATGTCAATGATATCATAGTTAATAGGTCATCAATTAAACGACATCGTGAAAAAATGCGTTGGAATTTAGCTACAGAAATTCGCGACATATTTTCTGTGACTAATCTCAATGCCTTAGTTTTACATTGGGACGGCAAGGTAACAGACACAAAAAAAAAAAAAAAAAATCTTAGTAAAACCAATACCTTCTCAGCTTCGCATCGAAGCTAAAAAAAAATGTATGTGAAATTTCAAACTTAAATGACTTTCTAAAAATGATTTTTTTTTTGAGAAAATTGGCGTTTTTGAGCTCACCTAAACCATTAAGAAGTTATTATTTTATAGTGATTTTCAAATGTGGTATTGTATAGTATATAATCTATGTTTCAACTAAATTTCAAATATTTAAAAAAATTTTCTTGGGATTTAGAGGCCTACAAAGTTAGAAATTTTATAAAAAGACACGTATTCTAGGTGCATTATCTCTGTAGGGGGACCTAATTTCAAAATTTTTTTTTTTAGTTATATATTTGCTTAATACACCATAAAAATTTGAAGTTTAAGATTTAGCATTAGAAAATCAGTAAAAATCCGTTCAAAATCATGTAATTTAATAGTTTTTTGTTGTTTTCAAACCATGTTTTTGTAATTTTTTTTATATTACTGTGTATGTAATATATTACAATACAATGTAACTATTATATATTATAATTATTACATATAAACTTTTCTGTGAGAACTGTATAGGTTTTATAGGTTATATTGTGGATATTTTAGCTTCGATGCAAAGCTGAGAAGTTATTAATTTTACTATGATGTGTTTTTTTTTGTGTCTGTTACCACTTTTCTCAGCTCTCACCGAACGGATTTTTTTAACGATACGTCAAAAGATCACAAATCGTATCTAGTCGAAGACATTACCCTTAAAAAATAGAAAAAATTTCCCCCGTTCCCCGTAAATGGGGGAAACCTCCGAAAAAATTACAAATTTAAAAATCGCTAATTTTCGAAATTTTTTCAATTTTTTTTCTAAAAACTGCCGTAACTTTTTTAAAAATGAACATAATAATATAATTCTTTCTTTTATAGATGCATGATGTCATTACCTATCATTTGATATATTTTTTTTATAAATCTGACTTTTTACCTGTCCACAGGGGGGGATTTAAAATGACAACTTTTTTACAAAAAGTTAATTTTTTCAACTTAAATTTTGAAAATGTTCCGGAAGGTCTGACACTTTTATATATATCTTAAATTAAAGCTAATGTAATATACTTTATAATGGTAAAAAAAAATTTCGGACTTTATTTTATCTTCATGGTGAAAACAGACATTAAACTTAATAAAAAAAATACGATTTTTGTAAAAAAATTCTTTTTTATATTTTTAACTTTATAATGCTATAACTTCTCGAAAGATGTATGGATCAATATAATTCTTTTTTTTGTAGATGCATGATGTCTTTACCTATCATTTGGTATATTTTTTTTATAAATCTGACTTTTTACCTGCCTACAGGGGGGGATTCAAAATGACAACTTTTTCACAAAAAATTGACTTTTTCAACTTAAATTTTGAAAGTGTTCCGGAAAGTCTGACACTTTTATATATATCTTAAATTAAAGCTAATGTAATCTACTTTATTATGTAAAAAAAAAATTTCAGACTTTATTTTGTCTTCACGGTGAACCAAATGTTATTATTGTGTGAAAATTCTCAATTTTATTTATTACATTTTTAACTTTATAATGCTATAACTTATTGATAAGTGTATTGATCAATATAATTTTTTTATGGGAAATACTATTTTTTAATATTCCTTTTTTCATTCGACATACTTTATCTTAATCAGGATATTAATAAGGAACTACCAGTTTATGAAGCTTTTGGAATAATCCACCAATTTTTAAAATTAAACACTATCTAAAGATTTGCATCGAAGCGTTTTTTTTTTGATAGTGATTTTAATCACTGTCAGATATCATTATACTTGATCCAACTATGCCACGTCACTACTGTGCCGCGACCCCTCTGTGCTGGGTTTTTTTTTTTAATGTTTTTTTACATTGAAATAGCCATAAAAATCGGAAGGTCATAAAAAAAAAAAAAAAATTGTTTTAATCTAATTATAGCATAAATAATAAACCCTGAAAAATTAAGCAAAATATGAGGCGGTCGTGTAACCACTTCTGGATGATTTGGCATGGATTGACCCAGTAGCTTGCTGTTCTACATAGAATAAAATTCGACTTGAATGATGAAAATTTTAAAATATTACATTTAACATATCATGGTTATAGGTAAACCTCTACAATTATAGATTTTAGACTAATACAACACAAGATAAGATAAACATTTATCGATCTTGTGTATGATTAAATGTGAAAATGGTCATGTGTTGATTGAATATTATAAAAATAAAATTGATTTAAAGAAAAGTCACTCGTGGTACTAAAGAAATACTATAAATAATCAAATAATTAAATTTAAAAAAAAAAACAAAAAGATATATAAAATTAAAGATAAACAAATTTAGTAGAGCAAATTTTTTTTTTTTTAATTTAAAGCTTTTTTTAAATTTTATTTCATTTTTTATGATTTATTTCAACTAATACTAGTTCAGTGCTATAAAATTCAACTTAATAACTTAATTAATTTATATTCAAGTCAGTATAAACATTTGAAAAGGTTATAATGGAGCGTTGAAACTATTAAAGTAAAGAAGTATAAAAAATAAGCTGTTTAATTATTTTTAAATTACCAATGTATTGTTATCGCATGTAAAAAATTCAATAAATTTTTAAAAATAATATATCAAAATATTTGTCTTTAAATAAGGTTTTTTTTTTTGTATCTTGACTGACCAACAACCATCAATGTTGCCAACTTTTTGACGTTCGAGGACCATGCCGGATACTGTTTCACCAACGCCAGCGAAGATGCCGCGATATTATGTGAAGATTTTATTTTATTTATTGTTTGTTTACATATCTTAAACAAACAATGATGTAATTCAAATCACTTCCTGTACAGCATTGTAAAGCACATCTCTCTTTTAATTGCCACATTAAATGTTATTACTTTAATTTATTATTACAGACATAAAGGCCCTCTGGGTTCTGGTCCATCCTTTGACATCCGTCAAAGTCACTCTTATTTTTTCTCTTCTGGCAATCACACTTAAGTAGTTAGCTTTACTCGTTCTATTATTTTGCAGTCATTTTACTTATTTTTTAATACTTATATTGTTTTTTAGTGTCTACTTCTTTATAGGCTTATAGTCTAACTAAAGATATTTTCTTATTGTGATAATTATTTAATCATTCACACTATACCCTTATATAATAATCTGTTTTCTTAATCAACATCTTATAAACCTATATTACTCATTTCTATTGTAAGGTTTCAGCAAAACCAGAGGGCCTACTATTTACTCACTATCCAAGGGAATACTGAACAGTGACCTAGTAACCGAGCCAAGCAAGATAGTACTAGTTGACGGAGCTACTAAGTTTTTATTAAAAAAAAATAGTAATAAAATGAGAGAAGAGTAAAAAGAGAAAGGCCATGTATAATATAATCACATTTTTTTTTAATTATTTAAAATTGATATTTATAATTTTAAATATATAAATTCATAAAGAAAAAAATAAAAACCCTTCACAGGGGGGTCGCAGCACAGTGGTGACGTGGCATAGTTGGATTAAGTATAATGATATCTGACAGTGAACATAATCACTATAACAAAAAACACTTCGATGCAAATCTTTAGATAATGTTTAATTTAAAAAAATTGGTGGATTATTCCAAAAGCTACATGATCTGCTATTTCCTTTTTTATATCCTGAATGAAAAAGGAATTATTAAAAAATATTATTTTTCATTAAAAAATTGTGTTGATCCATACACTTTTCAATAAGTTATAGCATTATAAAATTAAAAATGTAAATAAAATAGAGAAATTTCACACAAAAATATCATTTAGTAACAATTTTCACCGTGAAGACAAAATAAAGTCCGAATTTTTTTTTTCTATAATAAATTACATTACATCAGCTGTAATTTAATATATTTATAAAAGTTTCAGCCTTACTGTAACACTTTCAATAGTTTAGTGTAAAATTAAATTTTATATGAAACAGTTGTTATTTTAAATCCCTCCATGTGCGCAGGTAAAGGGTCAAATTTATAAAAAAAAATATACCAAATGAAAGGTAATGATATCATGCATCTATCTAAAAAATTATATTGATTTGGTTATTTTTAAAAAATGTATGGCAATTTTAAGAAAAAAAAATTGAAAAAATTTCGAAAATTAGCGATTTTTAAATTTCTAATTTTTTTGGAGGTTTTCCCTATTTATGGGAAACGAGGGAATTTTTTTCAATATTTGAGGATAATGCATTCGACTTGGTACGATTTCTGATCTTTTAACGTATCGTTGAAAAAAATCCGTTGGGTGAGAGCTGAGATTGAGTGGTAACAGACACAAAAAAAAACACATTATAGTAAAACCAATACCTTCTCAGATTCGCATCGAAAAAAAGGAAAAAAAAAGAGGTGCTATATATACAACATTAATAATGGGGTAGAACAGGGGTTTTCATGATATACTTGTTGTTGTTCGTGTTCTAGAGTGATGGCCCACCACTGGCCATAGTTGCGCCTCACATCACCATCATCATTAACATCTCAACGTTTTATTTTACAAAAAAAACGGAGGACAATAAAATGCAGACAATGAAAACGTGGTTTTCACCATAGAAAACAATATACAAAAAACACGACTAGTCGCCTCGGTTGTATAACTGAGAAGAAAAGAAAAAAAAACCACTAATAATGACATCATGTAAGTGGCCGGTGATCATTGTGCCAGGTGGTGAAGTTGCCAACTTTGAATTGGTTCATGGGGAGTTACATAAATGTAGGGATGCACTGTGTGTGGTTAAACTGTCACAACAAACCGATTGGACATTCAAATAAACACGGAGATGTGACAATAATCTAAAAATTACTTTGAGAAAGATTTTTTTAAATTAATGAATAATTGCAGTTATTGATATGTTTAAAAATTAGAAATATATGAACATAATTATAATAAGATCGTTTTTTTTTGTTAACAGATAAAATGATAAAACACAAATAGAAAATTTATTAATAAAAATTTATTATTTAAAAAAAAATAAAGTAATTAAAAACATTGAGAAATAATTAAAGAGTGGGTTTTGTTTCATTTTACTATAAGAAATTAGCTTCAAATAAAATTTAGATAAATTTCTTAATTTTCAATCTCAAACATCGTTTGAATATAACAAAAATACAAATTATTGTGAAATTTTACTGATTCATAACTAAGCGTTTTTTATGATAATGAGGCTAATTACTGTGAAATATGAAGCATAGTTGGGAAATGTCCGAACTATGCTGTGTCTCCATAATGCCACTACCCACTGTGGGATTATTTTACTGTAAAATTTAATTTATTATGGTTTATAAAATTGAAAATAATTAAAGTATGAATATTTAAATATACAAGTGTAGACCTACTAAATTACTCTGTATAGCGAATTTTCTTTTTTAATTCACGATAAATACTAAAAATAATTGCTATATGATAAATTTATGCAAAAATTCAAAAACACTTAAACAAATAACATCAAAAAATAACATGGTATATAATTAAGTACAAAAAATTGTTAAGTAAAATATATAATAGCTTGTAAAAATACATAAAATAGTTCTAATTATTAGTGTTTTATGTTAAAAAAACAAACAATGTTTATAAAAAACATTTTATTATTATTGCACATTAATTTAACTTTTGGATTATCCTATAATGATATTCACTGTAATTTCATCAAGTATATGTTAAATTTTTTTAATCATAACAATCGATATTTAACTGAAATTAGTGAAAACGTAGAAAACTATAATGTGCATACTTTGAAAAAATATGGCAACACAATAAAAACTCATGGCGAAATTGTACTAGTAATGTTAGATGTTATAAGGGCAACTAATAAAAATTTATACTCGAATCAATTGATGTCAGTTAATTTATACTTAAATAATGTATCTAAGTATGTAAATTTCTATGCTAAAAATAATGATGGGATATTTGATATGTCAAATCAAACATCAAGTATTCTTAAAAGTTACATGATTCTTCATAATTTTTATTTAACACAGTTTGAGAAGACGATACAGACATTTTGCAATAATGTGATATATGATGAAGTATTTATTTATTGTCCTGATTACAACGAATCAGGAGAATATACTCTCGAAAATTTTCCATATGTTGGAAAAAAACTTAAAAATCGATTACTGCAAACTGATAAGCAACAAAACAAAACGGATGNACCGATTATTACAAAATAATAAGCAACAAAACAAAACGGATGATAACATAAGTAATTTAAATCATAGTGAATTGTATAAAGTTTTTAGTAAAGCTATTAAACGGTATCGATACTGGGAATTCTTACCAAAAAATTTAATATTTTATGACTTTATGATAAAAAATCCCAAAATTTCGGAAAAAAAATTAATAAGAAGATCTCAAGATAAGCAATATCCAATATTAATAAACGGACGGTATAAAAATGTTTTAGATATGATTCGATTTGCACCACTCATTTTAAAATGTCCTGATAAAAGTTATTTGAGACTTTTTGATATATTTAGATACGTCAAATNTCATTTGCGACTTTTTGATATATTTAGATACATCAAATATACTTTTTATAAAAAAGAAATAGAAGTATTTCTTACACTACTACTAACAGCAACATTTCGTCCTATAGCTTTACTCGTAAATTTCTTTGTCGTAATTCTTAGGAAATTATCACGCGAATACGACTTTAATAGTAACGAACAAGAAGCTTTAAAATACTATGAAAATATTATTTCTGTTGGTAAAAGAATAATTGATTGTTTTAACAATTTTGTTAATTTGAATCTTTTTGGTGACAATCCAAATCAAGTTTTTTTAGAATTTTTAAATAAAACTATTAACTGTTATAATCACTTAATTCAAAAAAAGAATGATGATCTGGTAAATTTATGCAATGATTTACAGGATACATTAAAATTATTTTTGTATAATAACAAATTTAAGATTAATATTCTTACTGAACATTTTACAAATGATATTAATGATAATCTAATGAATGCATTGGTTGTGAACCTGGAACAATCAGAAGAATTCGTAGCAGAATTAATAAAACATAATAAATTCTTTAAAGTAGCAAAAAAATCATGTAATATTAATTGCACGTTGAATAATGAATACACATACGTTTTCAATGGATGTATATTACGTAAGATTAATTATTTATCATATTTTATTATATTATATACTAATTGGGTTGAATGTTTAAAAAAATTTAATTTATCGGACAAGTTTGAATAATGTATGTGAAATTTTAAGATATTTCTGAAATTTAACATTATTATTTTATTATAATATTTTTACACATTATTTAAAAATTTATTTTTAAATAATTATTTGACCCTTATTATTGAATCATTATAGTAGATATTGAGAACCATCTATCAAAATTAACTAAATAATGAAATAAATTTAATTACTAATACATTATAAAAAAAAAGGTGCACTGTGGGGTTGCAGCACAATATGCACGTGACATAGTTGGGACAAGTATTTGGGACTTTTTCTTTCACTTCTAAATTTTAATGTTATTACTTATTATTAAAAAATAAGTATTTACTTATAAAAAAATAATTAAGAACAAAAAAAAATTGTTTTTAAATTAATACTGATTTTGATTATTAATATGTTAAAAATCAGGAAAATGACATTTAACCTATTTTTATCCTTAAAGGGTGATATTTGTGAAAGTTTATAGTAAAAAAAATTAATTTATAGCCATAATTTTTAGCTTAATTTGCAAGTATGAAAATGACATTATTAAATAGAAAATGTTATGAGAATTAAAAAAATTGTATCGTAAGATTAATATGAGTCAGGAAATTTTATAATTACTATTTATAGTAAATTTATCAGAAAATTTAATATTTATTTTGCATTTTTATCGTAATTGTTATCTTAAAAAGAAAAAATAGTAATCATGTCCAAATAACTTTTGGTGATTAAAAAGATTCTACAATTGATATATAAAGTGAATTAATTTTAATGATTTACTTTAACTAAAATAAACAATAAAAAAAAGTTGTTAAAAAGATTTACTCAATAGAGTCTTATTATAAAATTTCATTATCAATAAATCGATTGATAATTCAGGAGAAACTAAGAATCATTTTTTTTAGAAATTATTTATATTCTAGTAGTAGCACACAAAAATAGAGTAAAAAAATTTGAAAAAATTATAAATTAATAGTTTTAATTGTCTGTATGGAGAACATGGGATAAGTAACTGTTTAATTGATAAATTAGAATTTTTTTTTCAATTTTTGAGGATAATATCTTCAACCAGATACGAATTGTAATCATTTGACGTATCGTTGAAAAAAGTAAATCAAGTGAGAGCAGAGAAAATAATTGATAGTCACAAAATAATACCTTCTCAGCTTTGCATGGAAGCTAAAACCTAAAATATAGTAAAATAATTTTAATATGAATATGAAATTTCTTCTCGCGTATGGCGACTACAGTGATGGGATCCTTGATCTTTATTGAAGTTATTGAATCTAAATAAGATAAAAATTAAAGGAGTTGAAAGTTTATTATAACTTAAAAATAATTAAGAGAAAAATGCAAAACATTACTTGTCATACAAAGGTTTAGATCCTTGTATGCCAAGCGCGTAAGTCACAAGTATTACGGACTCGGCAACCATATGTCGTTTCCATCGACTGAAAAAAAATGGCAATTTAAGCTAGTTCAAAATTCAAAATTATTTTTCTAAAGAATAAACTTAAAAAAAGCAAAAACATTTAAATAAGTTTAACTTTCTATGCTATATCAATTTGATTTATATAATACTTATGAAAATCAGTGTGTTCTCCTTGTCAGGTATTTTAAAATATAATAAAATACAAAACCTAGAATTTTAACACAAAAATAACATATTTCTGAATACTGTAGTCATTTTCACCGTAAATACAAATCCATTGGTCAAATTTTTTTTTTCAACTTAAAGTATATTACATAAACTTTAATTTAATATATGTATAAAAGTGTCAGTAATTCTGGAACACTTTCAAAAAATTACATTAAAATTTCGAAAATTACCGATTCTAATTATTTTGGAATTTCTCCCATTTACGGGGAACGAGATTATTTTTTTTAATTTTTAAAGGTTATATCTTCGACTAGATACACTTTGTGATCTTTTGACGTATTGTTCATAAAAATCGGCCCAATGATAGCTGAGATTGAGAGGTAACAGACACAAAAAAAAAACACATCATAGTAAAATTAATACCTTCTCAGATTCGTGTCGAAGCTAATAAATTAGTTTTACATATTTTGTGCTTTAAAACATTGGAAGTTTTGCCTTTTATCAACTTTTTAAATAAATCCATATCAAGTAAAAATATAATTTTTATTTATTTTTAGACACGCTTTGTAAAACTAAAGATATTTACACAGAACTATATAAACTCAACGGCGATGCAGCCACTCAAATCGGCGATGTCAAAGAAAAAAGTGATGCTGATGATAACGAAAATAAAAACAAAATTATTATGGAGCATCAAAATTACCCTAACAAAAATAAATATGAATGCAATATAGACTGTAATTATCCCTATCCTAGGTACATAATAGATTACATATTGTTTTTATAAATTGTACTTAATATAATATTTATAAATAAATATTCAGAAGGGTTGAGTTTGAGATTTTTTTATTAAATTATAAATTATTCAGCAAAAAAACATAAAATGTAAATTTTTTGTTCATTAAATTTTATAGCTGATTAAATCAGACTATTCAACCTTTTAAAACAATTGCAAAGTTAATTACCTTGTTAATTTCTGTTGTTGTTTAAAGCACCAATATTCTTTTTTTTCTCTATTAAGTATAAAATAACATTTTTAAACGATAGCGATAAACAGATGATGCTAATGCCTCGAAATTATCACTTAAAACCTTTCAATTGTCGTTGACAAAAATCATTAACGACATTTTACTCTCTATAACGGTAAATAAAAATGTGCTTAGTACGCTTCACAGTTTATTTTGTTACATTTCAAATAATAATCTTCTCTACTGACAAGCTGATTTATAATATATTCAGCCAAAGCATTGCCGTTTTTTAGTCATTCTTTGAATGTCGTCCTATACTCACAGATTAAACAGCTACCATATTTGTTGTTTATACACCGCTTCAATGATTGGATTTATCAAAAATATATAAGTATAGGCTTACCTTACCAGTGAATGACAACATCACATTTTTATAAAAAATTCAATTCATTTTTTTTCGAGAAGTTGTAGTTGCCTGTATTAATAAATACATTATACAGCAGTGGCGCAGTCAGAGAGGCCAATAGGGCTGCATAGCCCAGATAAATTTTAAATAATTACTGTGGTCCATGAAAATAGTCGATTATGTCAAGCTTGTGTTTAAAACTGTTGTTTTGTTAGTAGAATTAACGTTCACAGTCTGAAATTCAGACTGTTAACGACATTCATGATTTAAGTTTAACAGTTATTTAATAATTAAATAAATATTAACATTACATGATTTTTTGTTATTATAACTTTGATAAATAATATTTTGGTAATTTATAACATAATTACAAATACATTGTAAAAATGTATTTTTTTAACGCAAAATATGAGGGTTAAAATTTTTAGTTTCAACTTTGATTCTCGTGGGTTAAATAATGTATAATAAGTATAGATCACTTGTGGCAATTAATATTTAAAATATAAACATAGATGTTCGGCCGCCGATCGGATATAGCTCCACTTGCGTACCACCGGTTCACGCGAGTTTTGTTGCGCGTCGAGTGTGTACAGCGAGTCTGGTTTTGGCACTTATGCTATTAAGAACGATCCAATGACGGACAGTGTAGTGTCTCAACTTGAGAGCCCACAGCTAAGTTCTGTGATCACCAATTCGATAGCAAAGAGAAATTTCGAATGTCCATCCGCTGGTTCATGTTGTGAAGAACGTGTCTGGTCCTTGTATGAAGACGAAATAAACAAAGTAACCAGGTTGCATATATAAAATTTAAATATATAATTGTATAGTAATGGTGTATTGATTCATGTAATATTGCATTTATCCATAATAAAATTTACATTTGTTCTGTCAAAGAATATTGTCATTAACTTTTAGTTTAAGCAAAAGTCAAGTGGTGTCCATAACAGGCGAAAATACTGGGTGCCCCGACCAAGAGGTGTTTTCGAGTCGGTGGCATAACAATAGTTAATTACAAAGAACTTAATATAAGGGAGAATATAGAAATGTTAAAAATAAGAATAATTTTATTATATATCATTTTAAATTATAATATAAATATAAATACATTTAAATTTTTAACCGATATTTTCACGTTGCTCAAACCAAAACTGCAAACAAATCAAAAGGTATCAGTATATGAATTGTAATGATACTAAAACAATTACTAATATTGATTGATAACACGGAATGATTTATAAAAAGTTCTATAGTAACTATAGATATTGTTATAATTTAATTATAGGTAAACCCGTTATTTTTAGTAAGCCTGTGTTCGTTGTGCAGTATTTTTATTTAAAATAGGGCGCGGATCTTCTTCTTTATCTTATTCCTCGCCTTAATCCTCACAACTTTTAAAATTTAAAAATAACTTTAATTTGAATTTTAGGAATTCAATTTACAAAATTTAATTATTTACACAGTATGATATTTAAGTTTTATGAGCCTGTTCTAATGGGAAGTCCTTTGTTAGTCAATTATCTTTGGTAATAGACAATCCATGTAGAACTTTTCTAATAGTGGCCACATATTATTCCACACTTCATTTTTTTTTCAATTTTATCAATTACCATACTTAAAAGTAAACTTTACTGGTCGTACATTTAAGTAAATGCTTTTTATATATTGTTTTTTTACTATATTTTACATTTATATTGTCCTGTTATTTGATGATCAAGCAGTTTATGTATGTGTACATTTCAAATAAAGTTCATAACTTAGTGTGCAACTGACAAAAACTATGGAAGCTGAGAAAGTATATGAAAATTATTTTTATATATACGTACCTCACCAGATTTATTTTTTGCGCCACTTACAATAGCGTAGTCACAGGGAGTTTAAACCCCCCCCCCAAAAAAAAATTATTCAAAAATAAAGTAGAGGTGCAATTTAAAATTATTTTTTTACACTTTGTTAATAATATTATCAATTTATTTTAAAAAAAAAATACATCTTTAAATATTAAATAGTAAAAATTGTTCCATCAGTACGACGTAAATACTGATGCGATAAGAATTCTGAAAACAAATCTGAATTCAGTAAATCTGAATGTCACTTAGGTATCGGTCAGGCCACTTTTTTAACACGCCTATATTAGTTTCACTTGTATGTGTGATATGTGTTTGTAACTTTCCAAGCATCACGTATTATCATTCTCGCGTATCGTCTATGACCTTGAAACTAGACGTCGTAACGCATTCACACCACCCCACTCACCACACGACGACAACACTAATCCTGTATAATTTTATATTTTTTTTTTTTCGTACCCGTACACACGTACCTGTCATCAATTATATATATATATATATATAAACAAATTTTTATTTTGACTGATCAATACCGCCCGCGTGTAATGCGCCTTACGTATATATATTTATATATTCCTATCGCCGCTGCCGCCGTTTTTACCTTATGTATAACGTTCCACTCGCCCACAAAACACAGCTATACCTCGTGCATGATACTTTTACGTACATAAGTCGCTTTAATTGTATATATATATTCTAATTACTATTAAAAATGTATATTAACACGCTTTATCTCATTAAGAGATATAGAGTGTATTCATTCCGATTACAAAGGATGATTCCCGTATCGTCATTTTTCGTCACTACCTGCATGTTCCGGGAGTGGGTAATTTGCGCGCCTGCTACTTTCCTTGATGTGGTAGCTGTTTCTCAGACTCCCTCTCCAAAATCAAACCCTGATTTCCCGTTTCCCATTACAACCATGATATTGATAGTAACTACTATCATAACATGAAACTAAAAAGTGCAAAATAAATATAGTTTAAAAAAACTAAAAAAACACGCTTTTAAACTATATTTATTTAAATTATGATTCTTTCAATGCAAAAATTTATTTTGAAAAAATTTAANATTTAAAAATAATTTTTAACTTTTTAGTTCGATGTGCTTTAAAAGCGTGTTTTTTTAGTTTTTTTAAACTATATTTATTCAAATTATGATTCTTTCAATGCAAAAATTTATTTTGAAAAAATTTAAATTACTCAAAAATGTAAACTGTACTTAAGGGTTAAANACTATATTTATTTAAATTATGATTCTTTCAATGCAAAAATTTATTTTGAAAAAATTTAAATTACTCAAAAATGTAAACTGTACTTAAGGGTTAAAAACCCAGCACAGGGGGATCGCGGCACAGTGGTGCCGTGGTATAGTTGGAAAAAGTATAATGATATCTGATAGTGATTAAAATCACTATCAAAATAAAACGCTTCGATGCAAATCTTTAGATAGTGTTTAATTTTAAAAATTCGTGGATTATTCCAAAAGCTACATGATCTGCTAGTTCCTTATTAATATCCTGATTAAGATAAAGTATGTCAAATGAAAAAGAGATTATAAAAAAATATTATTTTTCATAAAAAAATTGTTTTGATCCATACACTTTTCAATAAGTTATAGCATTATAAAGTTAAAAATGTAAAAAATAAAATCGAGAATTTTCACACAAAAATAGCATTCGGTAGCCATTTTCATCATGAAGACAAGTCCAGAGGTCAAATTTTTTTTTCCATAATAAAGTACATTACATACATACAAATCTTTAATATAAGATACATAAAAAAGTGTCAGACCTTCCGGAACACTTTAAAAAGTTAAGTTGAAAAAGTAAAATTTTTGTGAAAAAGTTGTCATTTTAAATCCCCTCCTGTGGGCAGGTTAAGTGTCAGATTTACAAAAAATATATACCATATGATAGATAAAGATAAAAAAAAATTATATTGATATGTTCATTTTTGAAAAAGTTACGGCAGTTTTTAGTAAAAAAAGTGAAAAAATTTTGAAAATTAGCGATTTTTAAATTTGTAATTTTTTTGAAGGTTTCCCCCATTTACGGGAAACGAGTTAAATTTTTTCAATTTTTGAGGGTAATGTCTTCGACTAGATACGATTTGTGATCTTTTGACGTATCATTGAAAGAAATCCGTTCGGTGAGAGCTGAGAAAAAGTGGTAACAGACACAAAAAAAAAAAAAACACATCTTAGTAAAACCAATACCTTCTCAGCTTCGTATTGAAGCTAAAACATCAAAAATTTAAAAAAATGGCCTGACCGATACCTAAGTGACCTGATGCTGAATTAAGATATTTTTTCAAATTTCTTATCGCATCAGTAGTTTCGTCGTACTGATGGAACAAAAACGGGTTGTTTTTGACTAAAAAGCAGTCGGTACTGAAAAACATTTGTTACTATGCTCTTACCACTTATATTACACACGCTTTATTTCCGTTTACTTAATTCGTAATATTAATTAGCATACAGGGATATGCTGATATCCTGATGTTTCCTCTACCTCTTTTTCCTTCAACATTCATTTCTATAACTTCTTACAGCTTCCGATTCTTTTCTCCTCATAACATGACCAAACCATCTAAGTCTATTTTCTCTCATTTTATCCACGATTGACGCTACCCAACCTATAC